CCCCAAAACCCCAAAACCCCAAAACCCCAAAACCCCTTTGGGCAAAAATTTTATTGAAAATTATTTCAGATTTTTATAAAATATTTATACTAGGCAGTATAAATCTCAAAAACCGACCATCTTCATCTCTTACTCATTTTACATACTCTGCCCAACAATTTCCATATTCTTATGAGTTTCATTTGCTTTGCCAAGCAGTAAAGTAAGCTTTCGAATCATGTCCATTACTATTCTTCTCTTCCTATTTACTTCAAATGGGTTAAGCTTTCCGTCTGTCACATCTTTCTTATGGCCTAGAAGGCTTTGGTTATTGATGAAATAGTTGCTTGTTGCTGGGTTCCAGATTCGATAAAATCTTAACTCCTTCCCGTCGGAACATAGAATCATGTATCCATATCTACTATGACTCCTCGAAAGATATCAAATCCATTTCCTTTCTTAATCACGATATTTAGGTTACTTCGACTAATCGCAGAACAATCAGAAAACTTAGACTTTATCCACTCATGCTTTGCAAGACCCAACAATACTACGAGGAGAGTTTCCTGTCCATCATATCTTCAGTCACATGTTCAGCTGGAATTGATACCAATTTTAGCAAGCTTTTTGAGAAGGTTCTAATATCAGCAAAATATAGCTCTAAATTGAAGGGCTCACTCTCTTAGTATTTACTGTGGGACTCAATAGATGCAAGTCTGAGATGTCAGATACCATATTTGTCTTATAGTAAGCGGTGACTCCTGGACCAAACTTTTCCACATCTTCACAGAAAATTATCATTAGAAGAATAAAATTCATAAAACTAGTTTTTATTTCATTGAGCAATAATTCTAAAACATTCAGGATCCATTAGTCGCATCAAGTTTGTGTTATCAAAAAAATAGCCAGGTCTCCACAATAGATAGACGGTTAACCTCCTGTAGTCTATTGGTTTCATTTATTAAAGATTTAAGAGAATTTTTACTACAAATTCATAGAGGTTCAAGGTTATAAGCTTATGACAAGATTAACAACCTGCACGCTCCAAAAGCTGTAGGGGTTTTGGGGTTTTGGGGTTTTGGGGTTTTGGGGTTTTGGGGTTTTGGGG